GTATTGACTAAGAATAAAGTTGTGGTACGAATGAGCAGGCTGAGTCTGGAGCTGAAGATGATCGACTAAGTTATATGCTGCCTCAAAAGACTAAGTGCAGACAATTATATAAATGTTGGATACTTAAACAGTTCAGGGCGGCTAGGGTGGCCTAGTCACATGCCCAAAGAAGAGAAAAGTTGTTGTGCCATATGTTTGTGTAAACTTCATGGTTGGGCTAGACATGTTCCATAAGTTTGGGTTGTCTAACCTTATGCCTCATGTAAGATGGGTATAAGGGGATAAATCATTGAGAGATTATGAACTATTGTCTGCTAAGTTAAACTTGGGGATGACGAGAGTACTTACTTTTGTGGTTTGGCCTGCATGCGACTGAGTTATGCCGGTACTTAGTCCGAGTTTCAGTTGATAGGTAGTTGCTTTAGTTGCTCTTGTGGTTTGGCCTGCATGTGACTGAGTAATGCCGCTACTTAGTCCGAGTTTCAGTTGATAGGGAGTTGCTTTAGTTGCTCTCCACCTGCTAGAGCCATAGGAGTTAGTTTCAATTTCCTGCATTTTTTGGGATCGTTTATTGTACTTTGGTCTTGTATAAATCTTAGTAAGCCACTTTCCCAACGGGAAGCGATGCCGAAATTTCTACAAAATCAAAGAGTTCGTCAAACTTTGTCTTTTTCAGGTTCCAGTTCTTTTTGACTTTTTGACTTAGTATAAATATGGATAGCCTCTCCTTCTAAAGGAGGTGCTGCTTTGTTAAGTTCAGGAAGTAAAACAAAATTGGACCTGCGAAAGTCAAAGTCATTTCAGATTCTGGACTTGGCTTGTATAAATCTTGGAATAACACTTTCTCTACGGGAAGCGTTGCCGAAATTTCTACAAATCTAAGGAGTTGGTTAAGATTCCGTTCTAACAGAACTCAGACTTTATGTTTGAGCTCATATCTGACTTGGTATGAATCTAGGTAGTCTTCCTTTCTAGAGGAAGTGCTGCCCAAATTTTTGCTAAGTCAGAGAGTTAGACAAATTTTGACTTTCTAGAATCCAAAGGTTTGATTTTTGGGTCAGTATAAATTCTGCAATGGCACTTTCCCTACGGGAAGCGCTGCCAAAATTTTCCTAAATTTAGAGGAGTTAGATTATATTTCGACAGGTGGCGACGTCTAGAGGGTTATACTATGAAGGGGAGACTATGCCAAAGACCTACCTTTGCTTGGACACTGTTTAGAGGTGAACTTAGACTTAGTTAAGTTGGATGATGTGAGTGGGATCGTGACATGGAGACTATTTTCCATGAGCTCATAGACTTAGCTTGAGATTGACCTGTCTGGTGTTACAGGTCTTCTTGATCGATTGATTCAGGACTTGGGCTAGATTCAGCTTGATCGTACGAGGATCACCTTCTGTTGTCACTAATAACAGGTTGGTTGTCGATCGGTCGGTTTACGACTCAACCCCAATTTACTCTCAATGCTCAACCTAAAAAGGCTTTAGCCTTGATGATTTTCCTGTTTCGTTAAGGTTTCACCTAGACTTTTATTGAATGACCATTTAACAAAGGTACTGAGTATTTAATTATGGTTGGTTGGTTGGAGGATGGGGCTTGCATGGCTAAAGCGAGGGGTATGAGTATAGAGGTTGGTTGAAGATGACTCCGTGTAGTGCGTGAACTTTGTTGGACTTTTGATGTGATTGCAGGAATGATTTGTGGTTCGGATTTTGGATTTGGCTGCCTGCGATCACACCTATGCATATGGTTGAGAGGGGCCCCCCATGTGATTGTGAGAAGTGATCGTCACATACTTACCCCCTTGTACATATATATATGTGTGTACCTATGTCGGGAGTTCGCATGGCCCAAGAAACCAGCGTATTAAGGGTTAAATAGGGGCGAGGTAGGCAGAAAACCCCCTCCTCTCGATTGTATACTTGTTCTGATTTGTTGGTCGGACGTTGGTCCTGGGCCAAGATTCAAGGTCCTTGTCCAAGGCATCCCAAGCCCTAGACTTTGGGGGGAAGGAACCTTCCCTTGCGCAAAGCCTATCTGCCCTGCCCGCCGAGACACCCAACCTAGGGGGAGAGATGCCGCGGGGGCTGAACGACATGTCCTTCAGCCGTTTAATATCGTGAGGGGTAACCCCTCACGATATATTCCTTCAACCATTCAATATCGCGAGGCCGAGACTGCGATCACCGTGTATGACTAACATCGCTGGTTGGTATAGGGCAGACCTGCAACCGCGCAACTTTATATCAAAGTCTTGCGCGCGACGCTTCGTCGTCCTAGCGACTACAGTTATCGGATCAATGGATTCATACATATGCCTAAGTGTTCGGCAGTGGTGTAGGCCGTGTTGCCGACCAAAAGAAAAACGGGGGTACCCAAGTCGTGATTTCGGGGCAGGGAGGCCTCGGCCTATACTTTGTTTTTAAAGACTTATCATGATTCGACGTTAAAGTACGTGACAGACGTCAAAGTCAAACCCCTTGACTTCTATCCAGGCCTGGAGTGGGGCTCATCTCCACGACTGTAAGAATTGACTGCCACCACAGGTATGGACCTGTGTACCACCCACTCTGCATAGGGTGTAGAAGAGGGTGTGTGGTCTTCAACCGCGCATGGCGGTTGTCTAGCGCCGAGAGATTAACCCCTCGAGGCGTGTGTCAGCCGACACTTGAGTGTCGAAGGTGACCCTCGATTGTTACACAGGGACCCATGATTATGGGTACTATATAGTACACCACCTTCGCGACTGCTTGCGTACGTTGGCATTGCAAATCGATATGAGAAGGCCCTGCTTCCGCGCGGGTTTATACCAAGTCTCGTGCGTGACGCCTAACCGATTTCTGCGTCAGAAAGTTATGGGAAGGCTACCAAGGGACTAGGAGCGTTGTCGCGTTGGCTATCTGTGTCGTTCCGTGTGTATGTTGTGTGGGTGTTTTATTTGTTATAGTGGTGTGCGCGTGGCGTGTGGGATACGTCCTAGTCGATCGGCGACGAGTCGCGCTTGGGACTTCAGCCCCCCAAGACGTCGGTTCGCGTGCGGGTCCGATAGAGGCGTACTGCCGCGTGTACCCCCCTACGCTACAACGAATGAGACACGCCCTCGGCTGGTCCACCTCTGCGATTACAACTGATCAACTTTCGTACTATGGACTGGTAGCTCGGTGGGGATACGCCTACCGAAGGGAGGTGACAATTCCTGTAAGGTGGAGGTAAGTCGTGCCTCGCGTAGGCCCTATCCTGTCGTAAGGGCTCGCGAGAGGTATGGCAGGCGCACTCGGCCTGAGCGGCTTGCAGAAGCTGCATGTATGTATCGCGATGAGGATTAAGATCCAACTCCTGCGTGACGTGGCCGAGAGGGTCCCACGCTACCCTTGAGTAGTGTCGGACCGATGCGCACGACAGGTGGCGCCATTGCTAGGGATAACGGATTGCCTGCCGTTGTCCCTGGTGGAACGACATCCGGGTATTAGAGTAAGGAGAAATCAGACACGAATGAGATAAACAGAGTATGCCTATAAATAAGGTTGTATGGGGTTTGTATGAATATGTGAGGAACTGAGATGATTATGTGAGACGACTCATAGTGGGGATAGAGTTTATGGGAGTAAGTCTGGGAATGAAGAGAATTGCAGTGTCGGTCGAGTCTAAAGTGTCTAGGGGATAAGTGGTTAGTTCGATGGGATAGCGATGGGTTAAAGTGCTGAGTGAAGTTTGGTTCTTACCTCTTTTTGTAACAGGAAAGTTAAGTGAAGAGCAGACTGCCAGAATGTCAAGAGGCATAGGCGACAGTTCAGGAAAAATCCTGACCCTCGACGATCTCATCGAGGCGATGGACAAGCGGGAGATAACGCCAAGTAATGTCCCCAAAGTTGACACCTTCCACTTCAAAGGAGAACGAGTGTCCGACTGGCTGGATTTGGTTGACCAAGCACTGGTGGGATTGACGGATACGGTGAAGTTCCAACAGATCATGAAGTATGTACTTCATGGGCACCATCAGGAGGTGCAGAAGGTGGTCGACGACGCCAACGACAATTGTGCCAGGTTCAGGGAAGGGATGCAAAGGAAATACAGGTTGGGCGACGACCTGCTGAGGCCTCTGAGCAAACGAGCCATGGGGGAGGAAACGCGAAACTCACCTGCGCTACCATCGATAAGGGGGTGGAGGATGGAAGCCTAAACCAGGTGGAGGAGCACCAGGTGTGTCTACAAAGGCAGAAAAGGAAGGAAACGGATGCTACAGCGTCCGGGACACCAGGAGTGAAAAAAATTATCACCGACATACTAATGGAGTTAGACTCGGTAATACAAAGGAAGATGACGACAACAATCCAAGGAAAGGCCAAGGAGGCCGTGGTAGAGGAGACTACCCAGGAAGGTTGGGAAGAAGAGGAGCCGGTACCTCAACACCTCTCAAAGGCGCCGCCAAGCAGCGCAATCTAGCACAAGGGGGGCAAGGCTCTGGGAAGGGTCAGGTGGCCCGAGCAGTGGTAGCTGTATCCCCGAGTGCGTCGGCACCTTCGAGTAGTGCAGGTCCTTCGCAGGCACCGGTACCGCCATTCGGGCAGTGGCCATGACCCATAATCAACACATATGTACCTTGGGAAGGGCCGACGCCTTCTGGACAGGTAATACCCTACGCTGGGCCGCAGACGAGTATGCCGCCCCCAAGCTACCCCGCCGCCCAGACTCAACCCCCGGTACCACCTCCCGCGCCTACACAAAGTTCACAGGGTAGCGTGGTGGCTGTTGGTAATCAAGGCCAAGGGAATCAGGGGAATGGAGGGAGAGGCGGTGGGAGAGGGCACGGCAGGAACGGCAGTGGCCGAGGAGGTCAATGGGGTAATCAAGGCTATCAGGGTCAGGGAAATCAAGGTAACCAAGGTAGCCAAGGTAACCAAGGGAACCAGGGTGGTGGAAGAACCCGCTTTGATTGAAGGACCGCTATATGTCAGCATTGTGACAAGCAAGGTCACACTATACGATTCTGCAATACAAGACGGGAAGATGAAAGAAATGGGCTGATCTACTCTAACATGGATGGAGATATATATGATCAGTTCGGGGAATATATTGATAGGAAGGCTGGCGGGGTAAGAGTGGAGGACCAGCAAAGATTGGCAGCACGAGAGCCACCTCCTGCCACGTTCAGGTTGTGGCAGGAACAAGAGGACCCACCAATTGCAATAGAGGAAATGGGAAGTGATGAGGAAGTGACTCAGAGGCTACATGCAGGGGATATAAAGGAAGAGCCCATAGTCATCGAGTCAGGAGACGAAGGTGAAGAGGAGAGGGTAGAACCGGCGGCAGTCCTGCTAGGGAAGATGGAAGATCTGCTGGACAAAGTGGGGAGGTACCAACAAAAGTTGGTAGGTCTCTGCGAAAAAGTAAAGGAGTGGAGGGCTAACCTCCCCAAGGGCTTCCTCTATGATTCTGGCCCAGAATCCATGTCAGGGCGACCTGGGGTGGCCACTGTAGGGTCAGGCCCTCGATCTGGAATATTGACAAGACCTCCTACACCACGAGGGAGGCTGGCCCAGGCCAAGGCCAATGCAAGTCAAGAGCCTCCCCGAAAGGAGCCTGAGCCAGGGAAGAGGAAGGAAACAGTGGAGGTGGAGGATGATGACGAGGATGAAGAAGAGGATGACAGGCTGCGCCAGGAAGAGGATCAAAGGGCGGAGCAAAGGGCCAGAAAGAGGGAAAGCCGAGAGGAAACGGAACCTGTTCTGCGCGGTGTACCGCCCAAGAAAAAAAAGTATGAGGTCCGGTTAGAGGAAGGGTTCGATGTGGAGAGGGTGATCGATAGACTACTTGAGGGCAATAACGACCTTATGACCCTCGAGGAGATCCTGGCATCCGCGCCAAGGCTCCGTAATGAGCTGAAGGGTAGGCCGTCGAGGCGGCTGGTGCCGAATGTCCACCTCAGTGTGATTCAACCAAAGAAAATGGAATGGGCAGAACCAGACACGAAAATGGACTGGAAGTGTGTAGCCTGCGGTATGGTGGACCTAGTGGTAAAAGGTTCCAAGTGCATAACCATAGTAGATACAGGTGTCGAAATGAATATTATTCGAGAGGCTGACGCCATCAGGTTTGGATTGGAAGTAAACCGCTCGGATTGCGGAATTCTGCATGGGGCCAACAACAAGGCCGTGTTTTGCGGGACCGCCTCGAATGTACTGCTAGAGATTGGCAGAGTAAAGGCAAGGGCTTGCTTCTTCATGACGCCGAACGTAGACCATGGCGTTCTCCTAGGGAGGTCCTTCTTGTGAAGGACAGAGACCCTAATGGGTCGCTAATCCTGATCTTATATTACCTGCTGGAACACTGGACCAAGAAGCCTTAGTAACAGGCCCAATCCTGACTCTTTCACGATTGAGAAGTCAGAAGATGAGCATCGAAGGCTTATGGCGGAGCCCGAGGAAGAGTTAGGAGGAGAGGCGTTCTCGCTCAGCTTGTCTGACGTAAATAAAGCCATGGATATAGTGGCTACGCACGAAATGGCGGATCCAGACGCCATTCAGGCGCTGAGAGAACAAGTCCTGGAGTATCCTCACGTAGGGGAAATGGAGTTGGTCTATCGGCTTCCTAAGGGGAGGAGAGACCGTGCTATGGCGCAAGCGCAGGCGCGAGCGGCAAACCAACCTTTTTTAGGGGATGACTCAAGCAGGGTTCCCAAAGGTGGTACAAGACGATAGACAAAAAATGCCGCCTTGTTCCCATTCTTGTTACCGAAGATGAGGAGGTATACTATGAACGGGAGCGAGCTTTGATACGGCAAATGAAAGAGAGTGCTTCAGAGTGGCCATGTCGTATCAATGAGAGGAGTGAGGGGAAGCTGATAGTAGGAGAATCTGACTTCCTACTACCTCGAGAAAGGGCATTGATGGTGGAACTGATGAAGAAAAGGGATCGCGCCTTAGTGACGAGGAATGCCGCAGGTTAGACGTGGACAAGATTCCAATGATCCGCATCCATACTGTGCCGCACGAGCCGTGAAATTTAAGAGGGGCGCGAGACCCCAATCCTGACGAAGAGAAGAAGGTGGTGGATTACCTCGATGGTAAGATACGCACCCACGTCGCCGACTATTCCAGCGGACCCTACGCATCCCCGTGGTTCTGTTTCATCAAACCTAATGGGACATTGAGGTGGGTGCAGGACATGCAAAGGCTGAATGCGGTGACTGTGCGGGACGCAGGCGGGTTGCCAAATGTAGATGTGCTGTCTGAGTCGTGTGCTGGAAGGCCAATAATCTCACTTATTGACCAGTTTCCGGTCTACCCGCCAGACCGACCAATGACAGCCATGCATACGCCTCGAGGACTCATCCATATGAATGTGGTTCCATTAGGGTGGACGAATGCTGTGGCGATGGTCCATAGACACATGATTCGGGTCATGCAGACAGTCAACCCACATATTACGTAGCCATATATTGATGACTTGGCGATAAGAAGATCAAGAAGAAGGGAAGACGATGAAGTCCTGCCAGAAGTAAGGCGCTTTGTCTGGAAGCATGTTCAGGACCTTGACAAAGTCCTGGGTTTGCTTGAGGAGTACAACCTTACGGCTAGTGGGGCCAAGTCAAAGCACTGAATGAGGGAAGCCACCATCTTGAGATTCGTCTGCAATGAGAGTGGTCGACGACCAGACGTTAAGAAAACAGATAAGATAGTCGAGTGGTCGGTGCCCTTTCAGTCAATATCAGATGTTAGAAGCTTCCTTGACACGTGTGGCTTCTGGCGGACCTTCGTCAAGAACTTGGCTGCCAAGACAGAGCAATTGAGGAAGCTGGTTCGTCAGAATCAGGAGTGGATTTGGGGTGAGGATCAGGAGAAGGCGGTGACAGGAATGAAGGATGAGTTTCGAGAAGGAGGGTTGGTGTTGGGGGCGCCAGATTATGACGCCACCGAGACAAGGTCGTTTATTGTTGAGACAGATGCAGGACCAACTGCGTTGGGTGGAGTTCTAATCCAGACAGACATTGAAGGAAATGAGAGGCCACTGCGTTTTGAGAGTCGGACTTTGGGTACGACAAAGAGGAGCTACTCTCAATTCAAAAAGGAAACGCTCGCTGTCCTTCACTGCCTGCGGATTTTTCGAAACTACATCTTTGGTAGGAGGTTCATACTAAGGGTGAATCCAACAACTCTAGCTTCCTCCCTAAGGAACTATGTTCCATCCGATCCTATGGTTGCCAGATGGTTGACATACATCTGGATGTTTAACTTTGAGTTGGAGCGAATTTCAGGGAGTAAGAACATAGCAGATGGACTGAGCCGCATCAACAGGGACATGCAGGAAGGGGAGGCTATAGAAGATACGCCCCCAGTTGATGGCTTTTTGGACCAGGAAGAAGACATCCGCCTCCACATCAATAAGTGGTCCCCGTGAGTGCCTAGCTGTGTTGGTCACCCCATTTGGCATGCGCCAAAGAGGTATGAGCGAAAAACCGAGTTGGTGCTCAGGCCTTTTGAAGAAGAGGACCTATGGGGTAGTAAGGATGTCCAGTGGATGATGAAGCTGGCGTTCGCAGGTAACCATTGTCTAGTAGAAGAGGTAACAATGATAGAGGAAGGTACGGACCGGGTAAGGAGGCATGAGGAACTGATGGGAGGGGTGTACATCCTCGTCAATACACTCCTGTAGGAATCCTTTGAATTAGAAAACTCGCTAAATCCGGCTGAGGGAGGAGATACTAAACTAGAATGCCAGGATGACGAGTTTGAAGAAGGAGAGATCAAAGAAGCATTCTGTGCAGAAGAGTATGATGGAATTTACCTGGAGCTGGGGCTTCTCCTATCATGTGAGATGCGAGACATGGATGCAAGTGATAGGGCTCAAAGCATGAGGGATTGTTATTTGGTGAGAGACAGTCATATTTTTGTGAAAAGACAAGTAGGGAATCCAAGGAAAGTCGTATGCGGCAGAAACCGCCAGATCGACGTTATAACGGCACTTCATGATGGCATTGCGGGAGGACATCGGAGGATTACTGCCATATATGCCAAAATAAGTGAGTTGTATTATTGGGACGGAATGATGGAGATGGTTGGTAAGTTTTGTCGGTCCTGCGTACCTTGTCAAGAGCAGTCTCGTCTGAGGCTGGGAAAGCCACTGCATCCAAGGCTGGAAAGGGAAGTAAGGGCCGTAGTACACCTCGACTTATTATTCATGCCCCTCGGAGATCATGACTACAATTACATCTTCGATGCGCGCGACAGCCTATCTGGCTTTGTAGATGGGCGGACCATCCGCGCAAAGACTGGACAGTCCTGGTTAGTTGCATCGAGGAGTATTACCTGCGCTATCCTTTCGTCAGAGAGTTCGTGATGGATAGGGGATCAAAATTCACCTGCCAGGAGGTGCAAGAATTGTTGTTACGGTATGGTGTAGTAGCTAACTACACCACGACCGCACACCCCCAGGCGAATGCGCCAGTGGAAAGAGGACACAGTACCATTACGACTCTACTGGCCTATTGGACTGAAGGTAAGCCTAGTCAATGACCAAGATATCTGAGGACATCTTTCTTCGTCGAGATTATTACGGTGAAAAGGACCACTAAATACGCACCGGCTACATTATGGTATGGAAGACACGCTACCTTCCCAATCGAGAGCTTCCTAAAGACTTGGAGGCGTCAGGATTTGGAGGTCAATCTGTCTTTCGAAGAATTGCTCGATATTCGGGCACGGCAAGTGGGTGCGATTGAAGAAAGGGTCCAAGAGGCATCCAACTAAGTGGAAAGGAGTCGCATGGATGATAAAGCTCGATGGGACCAGTCGACGAGTGTGAGGAAGGTACCCTTAGTAATTGGGGACATCGTACTCCTATACGATTTATCCTTGGTGAAGCAGTGGTCCAGAAAGCTTGACAAAAGGTGGTTAGGTCCCTACCGGATCGTGTGGTGTGGAGAGTTCGGCGCTTATCAGATTGAGAAATTGAATGGGACAGAGTGGAAGGGCTGGGTGTCAGGGATAAGACTGAAGAAGTTCGTGGCGAGAGAAGAGGTGAGATAGACGACCTAATTCCCTTAGAGTAGGATAGACGGGCTTGTAGGTTAGGAGGATTGCCTGTTGCATGTGCTTGGTTTGGCCAGAGTTTGCCTACTTATCGCCTGTTCGCTTACCCCGGCGTGTGTCTGTTGTCTCCTTCGCATGTTGTGCAGGTCTGACTTTGCGAAGACAGCCATGCCAAGAGGAGGGAGGGGGACACGGCCACCACAAAGGCCATTGGGAGCATCAGGAGGATACGGGCGGCAAGGGCCCTACCACCAAGAGAGCACGCCAGTGTACCACGACGGGGATATTGAGTTATTCCTGGATGAGTTCTGGGGGTACGCTGATCGTATGGGATAGACCATGACCGAGACAATCGGGAGGTTGAGAGGAGTCGGCAGATTCGCAGAGCCCATCGCACAGATCCGTGGGAAAGCGAGGACAAGGTCAGAGGTGGAGGCGAGGATGCAAGAGCTACGACCATCACCTGTTGGACCTGATGGCAGACCTATTCGCTTGGAGATTGGGAATGCAGAGGAATTTATCCCCGCATTCGAGCAGTTTATGCATAATCTGGGCATTTTGCAGGATGAGTGGGCAGCGACGTTACCCCTATGGACTTGGAAGGTGGAAAGGCCCCTAGCCAGGCAGATCAAAGACATGGTCCGAGATTGGGATGGCTGCAGGGATCTGAGCCCGCTGAGGCCAGACCGTCACGAAGGGGGCGAAAGACACTCGCTAGGCGAGAAGGGGAGGCGGTACCTGAGACTGAGGGGTGAAGGGCATACCCTTAGTGCGGATTGGGCCCAGTGGAATTTCATCAGTTTACGGAAGGTGGGTTGGGAGGACCTCCACTGCATCCACAGGAGGAGGCGCCAACATCTGGAGGGCCATTGTAGGAGTTAGAGGCACACTTGGACGTCGCCCAGTGGAGAATACCACCGATGAGTGAGAGGCGCGATGAGTCAATTGAAGAGGTGCTGCGAGAAGAAGTTTCGGGCCTTGAACATAAGAAGGGACCGAGTACTGGGGGAGGCCGGGCAGAGGATGAGATCATAGAGGTTGAGGAGGATACTCCTCCCCAGACGCCAGCCGTGTGACTAAGGCTTGGGAGCCAGCAGGAGACCGCACCCAGCAGAGGAGAGGAAGCATGGAAGGAGGAGGTCCCACCCGCGCTACCAGAGACGGTCGCATCGCCAGAAGGAATGGAGGGAGGAGAAACTAAGAGAGCCAGCCTGAGGAGAGAGGTAGACACCTTGATTGACAGTCATCTGGCCGCTCACGCCTTGGAGCTCCCGGATCTGGAGGAGCCCGTGCCTATGGAGCCGCCTCAGGAGCCATGTGAGGCCGAGAGAGAGGTGGAAACAGAGATCCCAGAAAAGGCCGATCGCCTCACAGAGGAAAAAGTACCAGCAGGGGAAACAGCAGAGGAGAAGCGGGCTAGAGTAGGGAGACGTTGGGAAGAGATTCGGCAGCAGAGGCAGAAATTGGAAGAGGCAGAAGCTCTCCCAGATCCACCACCACCCCACAGGTCGTATGGACTCAAGGAGATATGGGAAAAATTCCTTGCCCGGCATGACAAGGATTTAACAGATCCAAGCAAGGTGGAGGTCGAGACCTCAAAGAACGCGGACGAGTACTTGGATCAAAGGATCCGCTCCTTGTCCAAGACATCCTTCAACAGATACATGATGTTGGAGGCAGATCTGAGAGGGAAAGAGATGAGGGAGGCAAACCTTGGGGTGCGGTTAAAGGCCGTCGAGGCGGAGGTTCGCGAACTCAGGGCAATGGTGGCTAGTCAAGTCGCCATCATTCAGGATTTAAGGCGGCAGCTTCGAGGCGGCATGGATGGGGCAGAGAGCAGCAGGAAGGGAGAACAGAGGCAACCGGGACGTGGCTTACCAAAGCAGCCACCCGCGGCTGAAGCTCAGCAAGAGGCACCCATGGGGAGAGTCATTTTGGAGCCTGAGGACGCTAAGGCCCTGAGGAAAGCAGAGAAGGAAGCCTTCGAATTCAGAGCCCCTACGGAACTTGCTATGTTGCCCATGGTAACAGCAGGCCCTACCATGTCACCCTCAATTGAGGAGGGACTACCGGCAGCCAGTGGCGAGCCAGTCCAGGGCTCAACAGAGGGGTCCATGGATGTGCTGCTTGAGGCGGTACACACTATGCAGGAAGGCGCGAGCTTATATTCGCCAGAGCCCAGAATAGAGTAACCTTCTGAGAGTGAGATGGGAGAGGCAATGGAGGATATCATCGAGGGCAGGCCCCAAAGATTGGACACTCCTGAGTATATGCCAGAGGGAGTTGAAATACGACCCGAGCCTAGTCCTCGAGAGTTGGAGACTGGACGTGAGGAACCCGTGGACAGGCCTCAAAGTTATGAGCTGGGCAAAGAGGCTAGTGAGACTCCATCATCGCCAGGGCCCCAGCGAAAGAAGAAGAGGCTAAGGAAGTCATTTTACTCAACCTGCTTCTTCTGCACAAAGGGGGAGCACAAGGCATTGCAGTGTCCCAAGTTTCTGAAGGATCTGGTTGAGGGAAAGGTCTCGGAAAGTGGTGGAAGGATGTATGATAGACAGGGTAGGATAGTAGAGCGATCTGCCGATGGAGGTAGAGCTCAGTTGTACAGGCAGAACCAGGAAGAGGTGAGTGAGTAAGGACTGGTTCACCTAAGTAGGGGTAGATGTTTCTCTATTGACCTTGCTGTTACTTGGACAGATAGGTACCTATGTCGTTGAGTGTGCAGATGGGGACTACAACATAGGATGGCCATTGAGACCAGGATCATGTAAAATAGAGTGTGTACATTAAGTGACAATAGAACTCTAAGTTGTTTTGAAGACTTTCTCGTGCAGTTGACCACATACTATATTCGGAGTGACATGAGTTGTTTTGTGTGGGTCATGAGACGATATTATTCTTGTATATTTTAGGATGAGATATCTCATCCCTGAGTGTCTTTCTGGGTTGAGTGCTATTTGAGATTACCCTTTGTACGTCACGATCACACTCACTCTCACATGTGTGGTTTTATCCTGATGCATGATGGGTTTTGTGGGAAGGATGTATGATGGGTCTTGTGTGATATGTGCTTTGTGAATGGGAATGAATATGAACTGCCTACTCTTCAGTATACTCGTGCGGTCTGCCCACGGGCGGGTGAAAGGGCCGGGTATAAGGAGAGGAAGCGCAGTCTGCCCTTGTGAAAGTGTGAGAATCCTGAGGGATTTGTGAGTCCCTGAGACTCGAATGTTTGTCGTGCTAAATGTTTATTGTATGAGTTGTGATGAGGACCCATAAGTTGGTCTCCCCGTTGAATTGTTTTATGGAAAAGATGCCTTTTATGAGAGGGCAGTCCTTTACTTGTTGGAAGACTCATCTTTCAAAAAGGGAAGATGTGTTAATAAAATGTCATATGGAAACCCATCCTAGAGAGAGAGTGATGGTTAGGAGACCTATGGAGTGAGACCTCCCTCGTATAAAGGGTGGTTGATTGATTTGATGGCATGGTAGGCTGGTTTGAAGGATAAAGTCTGACGAGAAGAACCAGGTTGTTGCTTGGCCATGGTTGTGAATTCTTAAGAGGTCGCAAATGATTTTATTCGGGAGATGTCACTTGGATGTGTGGCTTCTTGCTCTGATCAAGTGAGGCAATCACGACCTTGTGGAACTGGCGGTGATTTTGTTTGTGAATGTGGAGAGGTTGCCGTGATTCTCTGTGTTGTCCCACAGAGGACTGGTAAATACCTTTTATGTGTGACAGACCTTTGCGTAGTCCCGCAGTAGGCCTGTATTATTGCGACACACCGTCCAGCTACTTGTGCTAATCTTGGGGCATTTATGAGAATACCAAGCTAACTAGTAAGTTTAGCATCACTGGTGCGCAACCCCTAGTGTTGGCTGCTGGTCGGCGTACACTGAACAACGAGCCTACGTCGTGCCAAGGGAGTAAAGACTTAAAGGGGTGTGGCCACCTAGGAGGGTTGTACTCCTGCGGACCGGCGTGGGATATAAGTCGAGTCTCTTTTTGAGTCCTGATTGAATGCTTATCAGGAGAGAAAGCCTGTCGTGGCGCAAGCTGCGAGGGCACTACCGCTAAACTAACAAACGCGGTGGGACGTAGATCTGACACGATCACCTAGACTACGGTGGGTCAAGATGGAGACCTAGCCTTCCTGTACTAGGAGGTGTGCTGAGGTGATATATATATATATATATATATATATATGTATATATATTTGATTGTGAGGATTGTTAAAAGAAGGCCAAAGTGTCTTCTAAGGTCTCGGTCACGGTCCGCGTCCTTGGTCAAAGTCCTGCTCGCAGGATGGAAACCAAAGACTCCTAACGAAAAGTCGGCGGTTGTCTAGGACGAAGGGGAGAGGACGGGTAAATGGGGCCTCTGAGACTTATGCTGTAGTACGTATATCCAGTACATCGGCGCCTTGCGTCAGGGCAATGGAGACCCGGGTTGGAACCCTGGCGGCATATAGTTATAAGGGTTTGGATTGTTGGAGGCCTCAACCCTTAGTCTGTCGGCTAATCGGATTGGTTCCTTCCTCGTCAGCATTTGGAGTTGTGGGTGGGTTTATAGCTTTTCGATCCTATGAAGCGACGCGGACGTCGCTTAATATGGTCCGGTAAGCTGTCGGTGTGAATACCCTGACAAGGTTATCCGCCCTAGTTTTTGCAAGTGACAGGAAGTAGGTTTAAAAAGCCTAAGTGTGCCGCGCGAGTCGCGACTAAGTCGGTTAAGTCACACTAATAGGATGAGTGACTAGGGTATCGAGTAAGTGAGCGCACAGTCTTAAGGCGCTCGTGTGACCCTGCCAATTGATTAAGCGGCCGGCTTAGTTAGCCAGCCTGATTTTGCCTGCAATTACGAAGAAATGTTTGTTTCTATTCAGGACGACTGGCCACTGGTAGGCCGACGTACGAGGTGGGGTGCGAGGCGACCACGGCACAAAGGGGGCAAGCTAGTGCGGGTGCCTAGCAGCAGCGTGCGTAGTTAGGAGAAGGAATGAGGGCCGGGCTATTTTCATAGGCCAGGGGCGGTGTAGCACCTCTTTATATGGGATTCCGCGCGGACTGGTACTGGGCTTGGGCTTAGCCCTATAGGTTACGGTACTGGAATTACATCACGGAGATGCGGGGGTCGAGGTTAGCGGGAGGCAGCATTGGAGCATTGGGGGGCTGAGGGGTTGAGGGTCCCACGGGACTACCCCCCCTCGGTTTTGCTAGGGTAGCCCGACAGTGGGCCCGTTTTTGTACGACTAGGGAAGTTTCGGTAAGCCTACTCTTTTTTTTCCATTTATGCACCTTCACTAGTTAGGAGTTTTCCTTTTTCTAATTTTATTGTTTTGGTATTATTATGTACCTTTTCGCAATTTTTTTTGTTATATCGGACGCTGGGCCTGTGGCGTATGTCGTAGGCCTCGGTTGCTATAGATCGTTCTAGGGTTAAGGCCGCGGTTGTTGTAGATCCTTCAAAGGTCAAGGCCGCGGTTGCTATAGGCCCTCCTTAAACGTCGAGGCTGCCAGATGTTATGATAGCGAAAGGCTAAAGACGGCCTCGAAAGTAGGCTGATGGAAGCTATCCGAAATCCACGGCAGGGCTAAGACCTGAGGGCTGGCCGTTGGAGTCCGCCTATGCAGAAGACAACAGTGTCCAGTCCCAGTCCCCTCCTGTCTAGCCGGCAAGTACCATATGGGACTGGGTACACTGGGGCAAGTGGAGGGGCAGACCAATGAGCGGCAGAAGTATAAGTCAAGAGGCAGCGGGCAGTCGTTCACTCGCTCCTGCGAAAGCCATGTGGAGACGCTGTTGCAACGACCTGAGCGACGGCGGCCTGAAGAGCCCAGAGGTTGTAGTAGACGGGGCGGGGAGGGGCAAATCCAACTTACTACTAGCTGATCGGGTTGGGGGATGTCCGCAGCAGCCGCACTGAGTGCCGACAGGCGTTGTGTGGGCATTACGGGAACGAACCCGGTCGTGGTCTCGTGCCAGATACAATCGAAAAGGGGAGAAGAGTGAGCAGTGATGGGCGCTGGGGCTGCGCAGCAAGGTGAAGGCGATGGGCTTGATGCCTAGCAAAAGTCGACGAACCTGGGCAAGGGGCTACTCCAGGTGCACGCTGGGAACTACTCCAGGTGCACGCTGGGAAGGAACGAGCCATGGCAGATCTGGGTAAAGGCAGGAGGGAAAGCAAAATGTGAAAACCCGCCCGTTTTTGGATGAGAACAGACGGGAAGGGAGTCAATCTGGAGGTTTTCGGCGCGGGCGACCCAGAGTTTATAGTTAGAATTAACAGGGAGTTAGTGAAGTGGGAAATATTTGAGTAAGGAGCTGCACGGAAGGATGAGGGAAGCGGCTTTGGCACAGGTTGAGGACACGTACCCCGCTCGGGTCTTGGTGAAAGCTAGCGGGGGAGAGTGGTAGATGGAGATTTTGGGCCGGGGCGAACTCGATGGGGGAGTCGGAATGGCAGGTGAGGGAACGTGAAGGGAGTTAGGAAGAAACAAGAGTGCGCTGGGCTATGGTTGGGACGACGAAGGAGGAAGTGGGAAAGGCGTACCTCGCCCATTTTCCGAATAAAATCAGGCGAAGGAAGGCTCAAATTTGGGGTTTCAGACAGTGGACCTAGAATCTGTAGTCGGATTGGATAGAAGGTTAGTAGATTAGAAGTAAGAGAGAAGTGGGGTTGCGCAGAGACATTGGGAACGAAAGGAAAGAGGGGAGAGAAAAAGGGGAATGAAATTTTTCGGTTGTTAGGAGGAAATTCATCTTCGGCTGACTGTCGTGGGTTAGTGCGCCTGATTAAGGCTGGGCAAGGGCGGGCTGTGAGATAGGGACTTACCAGCTACCTGGTACGTTGTCCCACCGATCGATGGAGAACCCCCTCTCGTCTCCCAGGGCGGGTGCGCAGCAGTTCGAGTGTTTGACAGTGTTATAAGAGAAGGATTCCGTCCTGTTACCCAGTTGTCAATGGAGGAGGCCGCCCTCTATCCCTCTGCATATATGGAAGAACGACAGTCTGGGAACAGATGAGTGAGAGGTGTCATGGTCGGGCCAGCTACAGAGAATGTCTCAGGCACACATGATACAGACGGAGAAAGGAGTGACTGATTGAGGACTCTCATGGGTGGTGGAACATGATCGTTCTTAGTTGGTGGTGGGGGGGGGTGGATCGACCGAGTGCTCGCGGTTGTACTGCTGCTACGCACAGCGCCATCCTGCTGCTGCTGCTGTTGGTCGCGTGGCTTGCGGCGACATACTGCACGTAAACCGAGTAACTGTT